AGACATGCATGTCTGGATTGATCAAGTTCAAACTTCACACACACATGGTACATCATGTCACAAATAGATATGTGCATTTGTTTCATGATTCGCTTAACAATAGCTGAATGATGGCCATTTTAAGGTCGAAAATGCATCAAAATCACGTATTTTCACAATTCCGGAACCGGATCTCAGTCATGCATGGATGGATTTTGTTCAGATTTAGTGCATATATTAAACATAATATAAGCTTGATGCATACCAATTTTTCTTCGGATCAAGTTCAAAATGGCCAACTGGCGGCCATTTTGTTTTAAAGAATTTAGTTTTCGATCCATATCTCGGACATGCCTGGACAGATCAAGTTCAAACTTCACATACACATCATACATTATATCATACATATGCCTGTGCATTTGGGCTAGTCCTTTTAAGGTCAAAAATTCACAAAAATTGCACATTTTCACCATACCGGAACTGAATCTATGTCATGCGTGGGCAAATTTAGTTTAAATTTTTTTTTTGGATTGTGTTGAAAATGGCTGACTGGTGGCTATTTTGTTTTACTGAATGCAGTTCAACATCTATATTGTTGCTGCTTTGAATGTATATGTCACTCAAATATGAACGGAACGGGGACGTGTCATTGACAATGTCTTGTTTCACACATGGGATATCTTTCTATGTTTTTTTTTTTTATTTTCTCTTCTATCAACAGACTCCACTCTCTCTGGCTATACTGACTGACTTACGAGAAATCATAGATTGTCTAATCACAGTCGGTGCCAGTATTTCAAAATCTACACATGATGGACAGACGATATTTCATTGTGCTGCAGAACGGGGATTCGTTGATGCTGTCCAGACTGTGTACACTGCAATTGTACGATACAACAATAGTTTACCACAATTTGAGGAAAAGGTTCGCCCTGACATGGATGCTAAGAACAATGAAGGTAATAAAAACAGTGTCCAAACTAGGTTTTGATAATCCATTGATGTTTGGGCAAATTCATTTATATTACATTAATTATATAGGGACATTTAATTAGTCGGTGTCCGAACAGAACTTATGGATTGAGCTCCAAGTGGGGGAGATAGGGTTCTCCCTACCAGAGTGTGGAGTTTTTGATAATTCTAGGTTAAAATGGAGCATTCTATGGCTTCCTTGGGGCCAAAATTACTATCAGACAGGTCACAGCTGAAGACTGTGGCCACATGTGATCCTTGGTCAATCAGAATTTGATGGTTGCCATAGGATCTGCTCCCCGGGGTAATGGGGCGCATGGCCATGGCATGAGGGCGCTGCGCCCCTGTTGCCTTGTTTAAAAAAATCTCTGGATCTCTGTGCATGTGTTCATTTCTCTGTGTGTCCAGACCTATATCATAGATATGCCTAGACCGATTACCTTCAAACTTCATAGATACATCGTACAAAATATTATACATATGCACATCAATTTGTTTCACGAATTGGTTCCAAATGGCGACAATTTTTGTACTGAAAAATCACCAAAATCAAGCATTTCTGGCATTCCTAAACTTTGCAAAATTCATGTAGAATTGTATAGAACCAAGTACTTACGTTGTTTTTCTGTCAAATTACTTTTTCTGAATTGCCTAGTGAATTTTTAGACAAAGTCGACACAGCGAAGCTGTTTATATAACTGATTGTCCGCCATCGCCGTCGTCAACTTTACAACTTCTTCTTCAAAACCGCAAGTCAGAATGTTTTTAAATTTGATATGCAAGTACTTTGGATTGGATGGATTCTTTCTCAGATTTGTTCATTTCATGTCAAAATCTCAAATTCTCTATTTTTGGTGAATATTTTTGTCATTCTTAGTAAAAAATTATATTTTCGACTTCTTGTTGAAAACCGCAAGTCCAATTGCTTTGATATTACATACATAGATGCTACATGTGGACCTTTCTCAGATTTGTTCATTTCGTGATGATATCTTCAATTCTCTAATTTTGGTGAATATTTTTGTCATTTTTGGTACAAAGTGATATTTTCGACTTCTTGTTAAAAACCAAAAATTCAATTGCTTTGATATTACATATATAGGTACTACATGTGGACCTCTCTCAGATTTGTTCATTATGTAATGATATCTTCAATTCTCTAATTTTGATGAATATTTTTGTAATTTTTGGTAAAAAGTGATATTTTCGACTTCTTGTTGAAAACTGTAAGTTCAATTGCTTTGATATTACATATATAGGTACTGCATCTGGACCTCTTTCAGATTTGTTCACTTCATGATGATATCTTCAATTCGCCAATTTTGGTGAATATTTTTGTCATTTTTGGTGAAAAGTGATATTTTTGAATTTTTTTTGAAAACAGCAAGTTCGATTGCGTTGATACTATACTTATTGTTTATTTTCTAATGATATCTTCAGTTCCTTAATTGAAATGTGCATTGCTAACAGCGGAGCTATCTCAGCCGACAGGCTGCTTGTCTAATGATATCTTCAGTTCCTTAATTGAAATGTGCATTGCTAACAGCGGAGCTATCTCAGACGACAGGCTGCTTGTCTTTATTTCTGTTGCATACATTATATTTGATTCACATCTTACAGTAAGTAAGTCGGGTCAGGATCAGCCAGTAATTACAACTTGTATAAAGCTACATGAACACAACTTGCACAGGGGGTTAGGCGGACATGACCATGATGACCAGTCATCTTTACATGAGATTTTATTTATATATTGCTGAATTATTGCTGGTGAATCATATTGCGACTCCTGAGACATCAGATCAGTTTATGTGCTCATTCTACTGTTCCATATTATTGTGTATTACATGTATGTACAAAATACACACTTTATGCAGTTATGAGCATTCAAACAGAATAAACAAAAACATTGCTCATGATAATATGAGGTTATTACGAGGATACTGCAACGTGTTCACGAAGACTGTACAGCGAGAGTATCAAATGACACGCAGTGGAGGTCAATGCGACTCTGTACTGTCTGAGTGCATACTTTGCGGTATCCTCATAATAACCTTATTATTTTACATCTTTTCCTCCCAATGATACATTAGAATGACGAAATCCAAAAAGTTTAGAACAGATTTAGCGAAGTTCTTTGTGTGGGGTCTGGTAAAACCCTGGTGGCAGCCATGTTTGTTATTTATTATTAGAGGACGCTTATGTGCGTAATCGTTCCATATTTGGAATTTGCGTTTCCTAATGTGGTAGGATGAAAATACCCAGTGCAATACTGCAAAATTACGACATGCTGTAACTTATGGCGGTGACTGGTGACAGATGTATAATAATAATAACTCAGATTTCATCATAAAAAAAACTAACTATAGCAAGAACATAATTTGACAATTGTTTGAATTTACAGTTTGTCTGTAAATATTTACAGTCTTTAATATATATAATTGTGTACTTCACTTCCAGGGCTAACAGCATTACATGTGGCTGTTCTTTCACATGGTACCAGAAAAAGAGTGTATGTCAGTGAGCGAGAATCTGATATCATCGTGGACAGTACAAAAATGATTGAATTACTGCTTAGCATGGGATCATCAACATTGTGTCAGGTAAGCTGTGATGTGATGTTTATAAACCAAAAAAAATATCTGTTTGATTTTGACATTATTTAAAACCAGAGAGTTATCACCTACGCACACGTAGCGTATCGTTGTTTACAAACAAGCATCTACCCATGAGCCTTTGCGTTTTAGCGTGTGTTGTTATCGTTGCTTGGGACTCGATTCCCGCACTTGCGCATGTGACGACCCTCCCGCTGGTATTTCGACCCTCCCGCTGGTAAAGTTGTACCTATGTTTCAAAAATCCAATTCTGAGCTTCCAGTAAAACAATCACAAATTTAAATTTTGCTACATATAGGTATTTCAATTAACTCCCTATGACTAACAATTATTTCGAAAAATGATGTATTCTGAAGAAATGAAAAGTATAAATTAATACTATTCACTACCATTATTAGTCCCTGTTCGGACGAAGTCCGAAAACAGGGACTTATAATTCGGTCTCTGTGCGTCCGTGTGTCCGTGCGTCTGTGTGTCCGTCCGGAGTCATATCTCAGACTCCCTTGGACCGATTCCGTTCATTCTTTGCATGTGCCTAGTACTTTATGTGGGACATATGCACATGCAGTGGTTTAGCGATTCGATTCAAAATGGCCGACTGGCAGCCATCTTGTTTTTTCAAAATGTTGTATTTTGGACATGCTTTGTCAGTTTTCATTCAAACTTGGTACATAGATTATACATG